GAATTCCCTTGTAAAGTAAGTGCAAATTAACATTGGTAAGATATTTACCATTTGCAATGGACTGATTTTCATAAAAGAAATGCAAATACAATGTATTTAAATCATTCTTATTTGGTTAAAATGCATTGAATTTTTGTTTTTCAATTCAATTTAGAAATATTCATATAACCAAGTTTCTTGATATTTACCTAAATTATAAGAGTATTTAATAGAATCTGACTTAAAGTATGATTTTTTCTATCATTTGTTGGTGGTGTAATGTTTAATACCAGTCTTGAATGATAATGTACATGTATAAATAATACAGTGTTGGGACTTTTTTAATGTAATGAACTTTTAAGTGTTTAAGATTACATAAAGCATGTTTGTGTATTAATGTGTTACTTTGTTAATGACCATGTTTGCGTAGAGAAACTGGGGTGTTTATTGTCACAGATTTTTCTAATTAAAAACTCTCATGTTTTCAATACATGTTATTTTTAGCATTTTATACCTTGATTTTTTAGGATTTTTTCCTATAGCAACACATAAAAAGAAATAAATCTTTGTTTAATTGTTAATATATTTTTGTTTATTGCAAACGACTTAAGTTATATTTTTCCCGAACAGCTTAAGATTAGAAATTCTTTTGTATATTCAATTCAATATAGATATGTACACTGTTTTGTAGCATTAAATATAGATGTACATTTTTTTGTAGCATACACAACTGTTTATTCTGCAATACGGGTTATATGTACAGTATAATAATTTCATGTGAACTAATTATGGTGTATATACATGTATATTTCGGGTGGCCAATTGGTCCATTGGGCCGGGTGTTATGTTAAATGATTAAATTTCGTTATTTATAAACTGTCATACACATGTCACTATAATAAAATACTTACTTTACTTCACTTCACTTCACTTCACTTCACATCACTTCACTTCACTTCACCTTACTTAAATTCACTTCACTTCACTTCACATCACTTCACTTCTCTTCTCTTCATTTCACCTTACTTTACTTTACTTTACTTATTTAGTAGAGAAATAGAGGCTTTGATGCTAAAGTATCAAGTCGCCGGATAGAAAAATGATTGTATTATCATAAAAAGTGTTATAAAATATCAGCTTAATTAATGGTTTAAGTATAAAGAAAAGAGGAACAATATGAAGAGTAGCCGTTTATTCACAATAAACATCATATTTGGAGCAAACTTGCTTACAAATATTGCCAAGGTACTGCTATGATTATAAAATAAGAAAGAATTGTTTGGCAATATTGACCTGAGACTTATTCATTATCAGGAGGTGCTTCATTAGTTTACATAACTTCTTATGATAAATGCTCAAGATTTTTTTTGATAGTATACATCTCGATTTTAAATTAATTGATATTGCTCGATGGCCTAGTGGTGAGTATGACGAAGTTGTGACCAAGTAGGCCAAGTTCGAATCTTTGAAAATCATTTATGTAGTTTTCATAAAAATATGTTTTATTATTTCTTTTAACTTTTTGAAACATAAGTTGATAAATCGTGTGTTTCATTTCTAGCATTTTTTTATTTCATAATTTTGATTAATGTTGTAAGGCGAGTGATATGCTTGTAATTCTACATGTAATTCTACCTTATACTTATACCGTTTTACCAGACATCAAAATCCGTATTATGTACTTCCGATAATTACCGCCAAATAATTAACGGTCATCGAATATTTGCGAATTGACTCTGAAAATGTACATGTTTTAATTATTGCATGAAACAATGCAATTCGATCTACCTTAAAAGTGGTATCTGCATAAAAAAATTATTCTTATGCGATATATCGAACAAATATGTAATTCAGCTGAAATCAATGTTCCTGTCGTTACATACGATATAGTAAACGTTTTATTGCCTTTCAGTTCGATAAAAAAATCAACGAAAAAGATATTTGATTAGCTCTCTCTTTGTTTCTAATCTATTCCGGATCCCTACCGTCATACCGTTTGGTCTCACCCAGGTACGGAATTAGAACCCAAACCGTTGAAGTCTAGAAATTTGTTCTTTTAATTTTTGAAGTCGCCCAGTTTAAGTTCTCTCTAGTTTGATTGGTCATAATTAAAGTGTATTTATTGCATGTGTGTAGTTTTTGTGTGTTATAGGATGACTTTAAAAGTTGTTTTTTGTGTATTCTCCATGAACTCATTTTTTGTTTGCGGAAGGATTAAAAATGTACTACCCACCAGCAGTTATGAGTTTTTTAAGTGGTGAATTTAAACAGTGTCACAACAGAATGAAGATTTCTGAAAAAAGTAGATGGCTAACATGTTATATTTTAGGCCTCATTTGACTTAGATAGTGTTGATGTTTGAAGTTGAAGACAGTATATAGTTCATCAAGCACAATGGAATTGGGTGACTTATTTACTATAGAACAAAGAATACGAAAATTCACTAGGCCGACTCCAATATAAACAATGAAAAGAAATGGGAACTGGTTGACGGATATTGATGAATCTTATTATTATTGAAAATTTAACATTTTATTTCAAAATTTAAATTTTGACATTTTAAATTGGGACAGATGTTGTTATTGTTATCTCCCCTTCAAATGTAGATGTCTGCAACTGTGTCATTGGGAATTGAGAAGGGAACAAAGCTTTTGCATGACAGATTAACCACATTTTATTGAATTAAAACTGTTAAAATAAATCTAAAATTAAAACATGAAATGTAAATTCGGTATAAATCAGTTTATAAATTGATAAATTTTATTTTTGTACCCTGTGTTTAGCATGTATATGCCTACAGTTGCTAGCTTATTTGCATTTTTATAAGATTTATATAGACAGTGATTTATTTTTTAGAGCGTTGCATCTTAAATTATGGATAAACCATGCATTACAAGGAATTGGGGAGTGTCTGTTTTCAGACTGGTTACATTGGTAAAAAAAGTAATTGGCAAGCTCATTCCAGAGATCTTAGGGGTCCAACAAGCACCGGCCATGGGATTCGAACAAAGCACCATTGTAGCCTATTGCTCATATGGACCACACATTATAAGCACTGATGTTTCAGCAAAGTATTATTGCTGCAATAATCAATATGTAAATATTCCCTATTGTCTTGTATTTCAATGAAGCAGAACTGACAGCTGAACAGGGTAAATGTGATAATTTACATTGTTGGAAATATATGCATTTTCTGTGTAGTGAAACTTGAAGTTTTGCCGTGTTGCAGTGTGTATTGGCTAACACATAAAAGATTTTCTAGTCATTTAACAGTGAAGTTTATAAATAATTGACTCAATTAGAATAACACAGTTGATGTGATTGTTGTTCTTGTTGTTGAAGCTGCTATGAAAAGCAGTTAAATTAGGTTCGGTTTATAATAACTGCTTTTTTCAGGCATGCATTTTTAAGCACACAATATTTGGCTCACCTATAGATGTGAATCAGCAATTCAAGCCATTAATTTGGACATTATTTTCTTTCTTTTTAGATATCAGACATACACTATAATGCTTCTAATAATTTCCGTTAACTAGTGTTACATATTTTTCAGATCTTGCAGTTACCAAAGTCTGGGTTTGAGTATAGGCCCTTACCTAATCCTGGTTCAGATCTATGGAAGAACTCCTACAGCTTAGTTTGACAGCAGCTTTGTCAGGACACTTTGAGAAGGTTATAATTTGTGTCAATTTGAAACTTCAGCTATTGGCTCTAACTGCTTCAAATGCTCGGGCAATATTTGGTTAATATTTTGATGCATATCAGGAGAAAAAATTCTCTAAATATTTTAAGACTTCTCTATGATTTAAAGTGTGAGACAGTATTGTGCCATCTTTTTTCAGCCTTGTGTGTGAGTTGGCTAATCTTACTTTGTCGGAGGACATAGCCTATGGTGCAAAGATAACCTCTTTGCAAACCTTAAGATAACCACTGTTTTCTTAAGCAAACAATGTAGGGTATATTTGTTGGTACTTTACTTTATTTACCATGGTATATATGTAACCGCCTCCGTGGTCGAGGTGTTAGAGTCGATGACTTCAAATCCAGTTACCTCTCTGGCGTGGGTTCGATCCCCGGGAGATGCTTTGGTAGTTTAGCGCGGAGGAAGGTAGTCTAGTACTGGTTTTTGTGTGTGTAACTCTCCAGGAACGATGGCTTACATGTTATATTTTGGGTCTCATTTGACTTAGATAGTGTTGATGTTTAAAGTTGAAGACAGTATATACATGTAGTTCATCAGGAACAGTGGAATTGGGAATTAAGCCTCAAATGTGACTGATTTACTATAGAACAAAGAATACGAAAATTCAATAGGCCGACTCCGTTTTTGTAAACATGCGCGACGGAAATTGACGGAATATAACGAAGACGACGATTACCACTATTTACTTCTTTAGCATAAATCTATTTTGTGATGTTCAATCTAAACTAAACAGAAAGGACCAAGTTTAACCATTTACCAAGAAAAATGAAAATGTTTTGAAAATTTATTCTTTAATGTGTAAATTATGAGCATACAGACATGTTTAATGATATAAATTATGAAACTGATTAATGAAAAATAACTTTGTAATCATTTATACAAAATAACTATGATTTTATCAGCGACCATACCTTTTGCCAACTATTCACATGTTACCTGTATGTCTTATCAGCAATCTGTTACTATTAATATATATTTTATATAGTAGATAACAAATATGTTTATATCTTTTCTGAAGGAATTTGTTTGAGGTTGGGTCTTATTTTGGCTAAAATGCCTAGCCTAGTAGTTTACGTCAACGTCATATAACAATGATTAAATATTTTCACGAATGGAACAAAATTCCCCTGAGATCATAAATAAGTTTTTCCTCGTTAAACCACACGTGTTTTTTGCAAGGAGTGCACAGTTGTAATGAGACTTAATGCTTTTAGCAATGAAGTGCAGAAATGTGATACCAAACCTGAAACAAGGTAAAATAACTATTTTATATTTTCAAGCAGAAATATGATACCAAATATGAAACAAGGTAAAATGACTATTTTATAGCTTCAAGAAAACTATAAAACAAAGACCATTTGTATTTTTTCCTCAATGCCAGATCAGTACCTGTGTGGTGTATAACTCTTAATACTTAACACTTATTAAACAAAGCCGGATAAAAGAGAAATTGAAAAATTGATAAGGTAAAAATTATTTTGACCACATATTGCTTTTAGTAAATTACTATTTGTTGTCAATGTTTAACTTCTGGTAAAATAGAAACCAAGTAAGTGTGACATTTAGAAAATTCTAAATAATTATGCAATTAACTAAAAAATGCATGACAACGGCATCATTAAACTTTTATCTTTATCAAATTCACAGTTTATCTTTCATTAAAATTTCTTACATCTCTCATCAAAAGAATATATTTATGTGTTATATTTGTTGCTGTTATTGTTGTTATTTGTTGGGTTTTTTTGTTGTTTTTTCAGTGGCCAGTCATGGTTTTCTATCTTGCACACCTGTTGGTTGCCCTTATTGTATGTAATTACACTCAAGCCTTTCAGTTTACCGTAAATCTCCCTGATAGCGCACAGACTAAAATCGAGGAATGCATTCAAAAGTCTAGAGTAAGTGAAAATTTTAGTTACAATAAATAAGTATCAATTTAATTTACAATTTGAATTTGATATACTTTAATTATGAATAAGAAAATGTTTTTCTAAATACGATAAAATAATACTGTGCTTATTGTTTTACAGTTCAAATTTAGTTTCTATTCCTTACTGGCGGTCTATAGTAATAATACTACATGTACGTATCTTACTTAAGAAAAGTATATGAACTGGGAAATAAAATATATCACAGTGATTATTTTAAACGAATGCTATGGTTTTTTTTAATTATCATATGAGCCGCGTCACGACAATTCCAACATCATGGGTTTGCGACCAGCATGGATCCAGACCAGCCTGCGCATCCGCGCAGTCTGATCAGGATCCATGCTGTTCGCTATCAGTTTCTCCACTTGTAATAGAGTTGATAAGCGAACAGCTGACTGCGCGGATATGTAGGCTGGTCTGGATCCATGCTGGTTGCAAACGCATTACGTTGGTTTTCTTGTGACGTTTTATGCGTTATCTATTCTTTACTTTAAAGAACTCACCGGTAATACCATGGCAAGCGGAAATGGCTTGTGGTCATGAGTATTACGCTAATCTTGGTGCAAATAATCTTACAGAAGAAGATTGGGCAGTGTTCGAAACAGCGACTGAGGAAGGGTATTTGTCAAATATGTTTCACTATTTTTTATGCATATGAAATGAATGCACTAATACAAACTTTAAAAAATGGTCGTAACTTTATGGTAGTTTGCCCGCTTTCCATCTAAAATTATACGTAATTTTAAGTTCTTGTTTTATGGCATAATATCTTAAACAACTTTGCATAAACAATTAACCTAAAACTTTGTTGTTGTTTTTAAAGTAGTTTAACGGAGACAACAAATGTGTTTTAACTTAAATCGTTATATCTTCACTTAACCATGCATTGGCTGCAAAAGCCAAATAAAATATACATATTTTTATTTATGTTTCTATAAATAATGTATGGTTTTGTCGAGAAGTAATCATTAAGATACATATAGCGACTTAATGGTTAATTAGTACAAATGCGATGTTATCTATTTATAGATTGTTAATCTATTTATAGATTGTCTATTTTAATTGAGACTCGGTAATGTTAACGTTGCTTTCTATCTTGTCAATAAAAGCAGCACGTTTTAAATCTAAAAACATTTTAAACATGTAAAAATTCAACAAATGAACTGAGCCCTTTCCGCCATGGAAACGTTTACTTTTCGTTCATGTCGCTTATAATTCTATTTGTTACAAGTATTCAAACTTAACAATTATCTATGTAATGAACATATATTACATTATGTTATTAATTGCTCTGAATTTTTTCCCAACCTTTCAATTTCAGTTTTGGCCACACTCCTCCATCATTTGGCATAAGCGCAAGGCGGGAAATTCGCACATTATCCAAAAAGGAATGGGAAATCGTAACAGATGTTTTCAGAAAATTATACGACGTAAGACGAGTTTGTTTCACAACAAAATTTAATCATCTTTCATATCAAAACGTTATAAACGCATGTATAAATTAGTTAAAACCATTCTGCAAGTGTTGAATTTCATAAAAAAAAACGATGTGTTAAATAAATTGAATTAAGCAAAAAACTAGTTCAGAGATATACAAGGCTCATCTTTAAAAATAAAATACTTTTATTGCAGAAATTTATTGAAATCTATCAAATTCTTACTGATTATGTCTAACTTGAATTATAGAATGCAAACATTGTGTATAAAAACTGTATTCCTAATTACTAGTCCAGTGAAGTTGTCCATATTTTAAAACGACTGCCAGTTTTTTTTTTAAATTATACTATGTATTCATACTGTGTTCACCTGTAGTGTGTAGAGTTTAAAACGTTATATACATATACTATATGTATACTCAAAACATGTTTTTTTACCTTTACAAAGGAGCTGTGTAGCAATCATTTACAAAGGAGCTGTGTAGCAATTATTAATATTTTCATATATCAAATTTGAACATAATACATCGTTAATACATGCAAACATATAGGCCGGTGTAACGTTTTAATGTGACCCACTTAGAACAATGACCCCCGGTTTTATTTTATATGAAATACTGACTCCCTTCTATAACATAATGACCCCCTTATATATAAAATAATGACCCCCCCCCCCCCTATTTTATCTATAAAATATTGAACCCCATCTAACATACTCTGTAAAGTCAACGTCATATTACAATTACTTATACTTGATGTTGCTGTTGTGCCTGTTGCTGCTACTGCTCCGAAAACAGCTGACAAAACAACGGTAAAATTCAGAGGTTCCGCTAAGAATAAGCGAACATCTTATAAAAACGAAATTTCAAGTATTAATTGCTTAATGCAAAGTCTCTTACCTTAAAGAGTGTTCTTTTTCAGTGAGAAAACAGAGTTTCGATAAAGTATTAGTTCAAAGCCCAGAGCAAAGCACTCTTCTTTATATTCTGCCTTTTTTAGGCAATTCAGCTATACATGTATATGACATTATCTCTTTATTGATAAATATGTATTTTGACTGAAAGAAATCAGTTCTTTATCACTTTATTTTAAGAGCTAAAAGTCAGAAATACCTTGCATATTAAGCAAACATTTATTACCTGCATTTTCTACGAGCTGCACTTTTACTCAATTATATATGCTAAGTGCGTAATGACGCAGTGATAATAGCGTTTGTATCATTCTGAAAAAAATACAGGGGCCCGTCTTATCAACGATCGTACGATTTTGGAAATCTTATCGTACGATTTTGATCTACGATTGTCGTACGCTCGATCGTAAGACTGTCTTATCAACGCGGTCGTACGTTCAACCTAAAGTCTTACGGTTTTTCATAGACGTACAGTTCTTACGCCTGCGCAGTATCACCTACTCTCCAAAATGGAGATTAGGCGCAAATAAATGTCAATCTGAACGAAGAGGTTTGTTGTAATTCTAACGCATCTTACAACCACAAAAAGTAACTGGGCTGCTGACATGAGTCTGATGCGTGCATTTATAAGTGTGAGGACGCTGTTATTGTAAATTGGAACTATTTCACATCGCTAACAGTCGCTGGTAAATCCCGTTTATAAGGTAACCATTTTGTAGGATTTATTGATATAAATACGGACTGTTTTAGCTCTATCTAAATAGAATGATTGCTTCAACATGAATTTTTGCATTGATATAATATTTTTGGGAGGGCTTAGCCCCCATTAGCCCCACTTCAATTTTTGTTGGCCAGTGTTACATCTTTATAGCTTTTTTCCTTTTGTTTTTGTTTATGTCAATGGCATGTCATGCATCACAGACATAAAAGATAAACAGTCATTCGAACCCACTATGTGTGAGTTGAGAAGTTAAGCGCTCCTCTTTGCTTATTCAACTGCTTGTTGGCTTTAAATTGCCTACTATGAAGTATCAGCCAACCTTATTTATTACTGTATGATAAAAGAATTTACATTATCAATACAAGCCAACTTGTACATGTACATGTAGTTATATTTGATTTTTTTTTACATTATTTGTTGTTTAGTACTACAGAAAATTAATTAACAGTCTTACATTACATCAAAATGTGTTTTAAAGCAATATAACGATAAATCATCATTTACCACTTTCTAATTTCTATGTTTACATGAATTTACTGTTTCACATTTCAGAACAAACTGCTCTTTCAGAAAGAAAAAGAAACACACATGTCTTGGATGAATGACAGATTATTCTCACCCTAACAAGTTCCTCCGTCTGACAGTTCTCACTCAAAGCGTTTCCATCACTTTCCTCCCCTGACAGCACCCCCCCCCCCTTTTCAACGGCCTTGTCGCATTTACAGGAAGCACGGCAGCCATTTGTTTGATCTACGACTGCTTCTCAGCGATCGTAGAAAAAATGCACGATCTTACGATAATCATACGATTATGAAAATCTGCGAAGTTTGATAAGACACCGCAAAAATCGTACGATCGACGTACGGCAATCGAATGATAAGACGGGCCCCAGGGTCATAGAAACTCCTAAACTGTATGCCTCTCAAGAGATAGGCGAAACAGCAGAAGAGTATGCAGCAGACTTGAAAGTGCTGTATGACAATGCACATGGTTTCCGAGACCGAAAGACAAGGGATGAAGACTTGGTCACTATTTCTTAGATGGTTTAAGGGATGATGACATTCGGTACGAGGTCGAGTATAACAAGGAACCTGAAACCATAGACGATTCAGAGTTCCAGGTAGTGAACTATATTCACACACGTAATATCAGGGAACAGAGGTATAAAGACAGCATCAGATGGACAGGTGAAACAAGGTCAGAAATAGATAAAGAGGAGCCAGTAGAAGAAATAAACGAGGTATATTGTGATCAAACTAAGCCTCTGTTTAAGCTGTCAAATAACCCACGGGACCCGGAAGTGACACAAAAATACAACAAATGATGAGAACCAGCAGACAATCTTGGAATATATCCTAGACATATTGCAAAAGCTTGAGAGCAATCCGAGCAGACAAGGCAGAGGTAATAAAAGAATGCTTGAGTTGTCGCAAACTCGGAAATTCCACTCTAAATTGTCCAGGGAGGACTAACCATCAACTAGACTGCAATAATAGACACCAACAATGCAGAGGATCTGTACTCCTTGATGAGAGACAATCTTTAAACTACAAGGAACCTGCTCTTAAGGCCAAAGGGCGGTCCAGCATAATGTAAGGAGTTTGGAAGGCCGGAGCAAAGTGGAAGCTAGTGGTTTTGGAGAGGCAACCTCTAGGGAGGTGGCTGTGGAAGCAGACAAAATGTGTAGACCAAAGGGAGTAAAAGATAAGACAAGGGTGAAGCAGTGTTGGGGAATTGGTGCTGGTGTATACATCAAAGGTAGAAGGTGTACCAGTACTTTTAACCGCGTACACGGGGACTTCGATGACAGTTCTCTCTACTAATGTCTTTAACAAGATAGCTGAAAGGAAACAGCTCGAACTACAAACATCATCATGCTTAGTAGGTGCTAGTGGGTTGCCGATCCAAGAGTGCAGGAAGGGTCATTTTGTAGTGCGACTGGGGACACATAAGAGGTCCAAAGAGGCTGGAGTCGCCAACATAGACGATGATGTGTTATTAGGTTTTGATATCTTTGAGGGGGCAGACATTTTGCTCAGTCGAAATAAGATAATTTTGGATATTGCAGAAATACCTTGCTTTCAAGTGCGACTCGGTGATGAAGGTAAGAGGTTTGAAGTGAGCGATAGTATGCGAATTCTAGGGAATGCAGACATTGTAGATGCACGTGCTGACACTAATGAAGAGCTAAAATCTGAAAACTGGTAGCATTGGAAGAAATCAGGAGGTTGAAAGCGAAATGCCAATGAAGGACACAAATTAAATAAATATACATCTACAAAGCAAGATAAAAAATATTGTCGTAGATTATAATGATATATTGCAGTATGAGAAGGGTAAAAGATGTGCAATAAGGAAGTTTCATATACAAAAGCATGAAAAAGGTAAAGAATACGGAGCAGAAATTTCCAAAATCATTGAGAGAGGAAGTCGAGTAGAGGCCCAGAAAGATATGAGAAAATGGATGCATTGAAACAAGATTATAAGTCGAGATGGAAGGAGAAGGATAACGAGATAAAGCAGATTAAGACAGAGAAGAAGAAAATGATCAATGCAAGTCAGCAGAGACATGCGATAGGAAAGATGAAACTAAAAGATAAGACAATCTCAGGAGAGTTAATTACATGTTAGAGATGGAACATATAAAAGAGAAGCAGACACATTAACAAAGGAGCTGCACATAGAAAGAAAGTAAGAGTCATCTTTGTCAGCAACACGAAGACGTGTTCATTTAAATGCCATGGAACTGGTGCACTACAATCAGCTACTCTCTAAAATAGCGCTCGTCAGAGGCGGGTCCGCATACTGTCCAACAATGGCAAAGACAGTGTGGGATAAGTCGCTCGCAAATCTTAAGCGGGCCCTCTCAATGATATTCCAAGATGTGAGGCATTAAGAGGGTAGGTCAAGAAATATACGGATGTCCATGTTTAAGAAGTGTACCACGGAGACGTCTCGAATATCGAGAGAACAAACATTTTATTTCTAAACTTTTCTAATGGTTTGAACTTACTCTCACAGTAAATGTCGGACATTAGTGTAGTGTGACTTTACTTACCGCGTTAGATTATTTAAAAATTTAAGGATTTCTGAACTTTAAGATTTGTGTTAAACATAGACTGTGCTTAGTAATATAAAATTTCTCGTTAACAGTGTAAAACAATTTGAAGTCATTGTGATTAGTGTTAACATTTCAAGTCTTGGTTAAGTTTTAAGTTAATTTATCAACAGGAGTTTAGCCATAGAAACAAGTATTGTAGAGCCCTACAAGTTAATGGTATGCATACTTACCTTGAGACTGACACTTTGGCATAGAGGTACATTTCATTAATTCTTGACAAACATGTTTGGTGATATAACCAGCTATAACACACAAGTTGAGGCATATTTCGTTTAAGAATGACAAAACATACACTCAAACAAGTAGCTTATATACTAGTTTTGTCTGTACATGCTTGTGGAAATCCTTGTTAATCCTTTATTTCAGTCTGAATATGTATCCGAATTTTTTGGACATGTATATTTTCAACTGTGCGTAAATCCTTTAATATTGTGCTGAAGTATAATTGCGCTATCTGAGCAGTCTTTTTTTTCCCTTCGGATCATGTAACTTGATTAAAATCCATGTATTTATCTCGAAATGTTAGAAATTGTTGTAAACACATTTCACTAGTTTTACATTGACGCCATGTTATTCGCAATGCATTGTGGTATTGTTGTTAGTTACCAAGCGTAAATCTACTATCGATAATTTAAACCTGTCTAAGGAACATGATACTGTTAAATAGTCTCTACTTTAAACAAGTAGCGTAGACTTTACCGAGATGGCCATTATTTCTTTTAAATCGGTCTATGAAAAGTTTCAAGACTGCAACCAATTTGACGGGTGATCAACCTTTATTTTGGTGCACTTTGGTTGCAAGCAGACTATTTTCGGGGTGCATTTACCTGCAACCATTTTCTTGGGTGATCAGTCAGTTTTTAGGGTGCATTTTGTTTACGGTTGCAGATTTAGTATAGATAGACTCGGATTGCCGCTTTTCGAGGAGTCATAAGTCAGAATTTGTAACGTAAAGCTATGCTCTGTTTAATTCTCAGTAGTCTTAATAAAAATAAGTTTACACTAAACGTAAGCGGGCTTTATAATCTAGATTGACATTTTAATTCACTTTAGAGATTTGATAAGCTGTTCCATTTATAAGAAATGTTTATACATATTTTATAATTGTCAGTGATAAACATTTCTGCTATTTTTGTCACGGTTCACTGGTGCACCATTTTGTTCTCGCGCGGATTCTTAACTGTGGAAAGCCGTTTATGCTGTTATAAAAATTAGAAAGTTGACAATTAGGAAAGCTTTGTGAATTATTTAAGTCTTAAGGCAACAATTAACACAATTTTTAGTGATATTTCTCATGCAAAGCAACTACTTATATAAATAATAAGTACATTTGGTTATATATGATAATTAAAGAGTGAATTTCTCTTGTGTGAATTGCAAGATTACATTATCATTTAAGTTTCTCATGTGTGAATTGCATGATTACATTATTAATTGAGTTTCTCTTGTGAGAGTTATAACATTACATCAGATTACGTCACTTCTGTTAGTTGTCAAAATGTTTATGATCCGATCATCATAGGGACTTTATTTGTCAAGTCTTACTGATTTGATACTCCAGAATGACCTCAAACTTGCATTAATTTAGTACATGTAAAACAATATCTACATGTTAACAAATAAAGAATAAGATATTTGTTTATGGTCTGTCTCGCAATTGGTACTTGATGTTTAGAGTCAATACATGTTGTAGTAAATTGCATAAATAACCGCATGTGAGACTTATAATAGTATCTTTGAATATTTTTGTATTTTTTTTTATATTCTTTTATATTAGTTTTGAAGTTTAAGAAATATCTCCGAAATGCGCTAATTCTGACAGTGATTAAATCTGTACTGTCTTTGTGAATTAAATTCATATATATTTTTTTTAGATTTCCCTCGAGTATTGTTGTTGTTTTTGTTGTGTTTTTTTTTGCGTGTGTGTGGTATTTTATCGCAAGCACTTGTCTCTTTCAGAAAGGAGTTCTTCAATCATTTGGCCGATTGCACGGAAACGCAATATTAAACGTTCACAGGGGAGCTGCGTTTTTACCATGGCATCGTGTTTTCCTCGCTCAGTAAGTAAAGATTCTCTCTCTGTCTCTCTGTCTTTCTGTCTCTGTCTCTGTCTCTCTCTGTCTCTCTCTGTCTCTCTCTCTCTCTCTCTCCAATATTAATTTTGTTTTAGGTTTCTATACGTGGATTCATGTCTTTTAATCCTTTTAGATTTTTCTTCTTCAAAAATCTAGCTTCGAACAAGAGATGAAGAAGATTAATCCTAGCGTATCCTTGCCATATTGGGACTATACAATTGACTATGACATTCCACAACCTTATGACACTGTCATGTGGACTCCATGCTTCTTTGGAGATAACAATGATACAGTTTCAACAAGTTCTTTCCAATTTCTGTACGGAGCTCATGGCGCCGTGATCGCAAGACACATTGCGGAAGATTGCTCCTCATCAAGATTTATAAATAAAACAGACATGGACAGGTTAAAAGGATTTTGTAGATTTGAGGTACGTGATTATTTATTAACGTTTGCAAATCCATAAGAAATGCTGATATTAATGGAAACACAGTGACTGGCTTTGCATGTACTTGATAGGATTGCATCAAAAGGCCATACATAAAATAAAAAAACGACCCTCAAAATAATTTTACAATATTCTCAGATAAGAATTTACTGCTTATCTTTCTGTTGTACTTAACAAGAGCTGTCGGTAGGACAGCAACGCTCGACTATTATTAGTGCTTGATAGTAAAAGAGGCTTGATAATGTAAAAAATCCATGTTATAGTTATAGGCCTTGGAGAGAGGTCTATTATGATCTCAAACGAGAGTATAAAATTTCAACTTGTTTCAAATCCAGATGTCAACAGAATATGAAATTATCTGAGGTGGTATGCAAACCTAAATGTAAATTCTAAGTTGAAAAAGGGGCATTATTCTGTCAAAATGTTTCATAGAGTTACCTCCTCCTGTTTACAGGTTAAGGTCACCAAGGTCAACAACTGTGCAAAGTTTCAAAGCAATATGGCAATGGACTTTGAAAATATTTGAGGTATTACAAAAACTTTAACGTAATTCTAAGTCGAAAAAAGGGCATTCTATTGTCAAAATGCTTCATACAGTTACCGTCCCCTGTCTTCAGGTTGGGGTAATAATGGTGAACAAATGTACAAAGTTTCAAAGCCATATGTTAATGGACATTGAAAATATTTGAGGTATTACAAAAACTTTAACATAAATTCTTAATAGGAAAAAGGAGCATAATTCTGTCAAAATGCTTGATACAGTCACCTCCTCTTGTCAACAGCTTGGGGTCATGATGGGAAACAAGCGTGCAAAGTTTCAAAGCCATATGTCAAAGGACTTTGAAAATATTTGAGGTATTTACGTAAATTCTAAGTCTAAAGGGGCATTATTCTGTCAAAAAACTTAATACCGTTACCTCTCCCTGTCTACAGGTAGAAGTCGTGATGGTAAACAAGTGTGCAAAGTTTCAAAGCCATATGTCAATGGACTTTGAAAATATTTTAGGTATTGCAAGTCAAAAAAGGGGCATTATTCTGTCAAAATGCTTGATACAGTTACCTGCTCCTGTCTACAGGTTTGGGTCATGATAGGGAACAAGCGTGCAAAGTTTCAAAGCCATATGTCAATGAATTTGAAAAAAATTCAGGTATTCCAAAAGTTAACATAAATTCCAAGTCGAAAAAGAGGCATTATTCTGTCAAAATGCTTGATACAGTTACCTGCTACTGTCTACAGGTTTGGGTCATGATGGGTGCAAATGTGTGTGCAAATGGATTTTGAAAATATTTGAAGTATTACAAAAACCACAACATGTGGTTACGCCGACGTCGACTACAATAGCTCTACTTATTCTTATCGAATAGTCGAGCTAAAAAGGAAGACATTCAAGCGTCCTTGTGTTATAGATTGTTATAACAAGATTTAAAACATTTCACTCCCATTGCAAGGTTCTAAATCAGATTATGTGAATTTGGTCGTTATACATTAATTTCCATGAAGAAGGAAAACTTAAAGCAGAGCAGTTTTAGGTTTCCAATCCACTTGCTTGGACTTGGAAATACTGTAAATTTTCAATATTTGAACATACCCACGGCACAATGGATATTCTTGCTTTCGAATAGCATTATTAAGCATGTACATGTGTGCATTTAAGTCATGTGTTAGTAATGTGATAATGGATGTCTAAACAAATCTTCAAATTTCTTTAAATCATTAATAATTCTTTAATTTAGGACATAACAACGGGTGCTAATACAACAAAAGAAAAGATGGTTCACAATCTTGAACATCTACACAACGGCGTTCATAATTACATTGGTGGGGATATGGGTGTCGTTCAAAATTCAGCATACGATCCAATATTTTGGTTTCATCATGCATTTATTGACTATATATGGGAGTCATACAGGGAACATCAGACGGCGAAGTAATATATCTTAGATTTACACAAATGACTTAAAATTGTAACAATGTGCATTTCATTGTTGATTTGTATTAAGAAATTTATAAATTAAAAATAAGGTGACTTTGACATTGGTCGTTTAGCAGATTGAAAAAATATAAGTATGTAAACAATAAGTTATGATAGAGAAATTCTTTAGATCTGCATTGTCAAAATCATCGCTTTGAACAACTTTATTCGGAATGGGATTTAAAAAACACGTGTTAAATTAATGCATGCATTTTGTAATATTTCAAGCTATTATTTTAATATTTTTAGCTGTGGCGACATAGATATTGAGTCCGATTACCGGAAAGAGAATGATACTGGCAGGAAGGGTATTTTAAAGCAAGGCTACAATGATACCTTATTTGGTTATCACCACTTGAAGAATAAAGATGGACTTTGGCGAAATTGGACAAAGGTATTTTTTAACTATGAGACCCAACCTGCCTGTGGTGGAAAATGCACGGGAGAGTACCTTTACTGCGATGACAAAAAACGGTGTTTATCTCGTACAACAGATGCATGTAAGGAAAAATCGACACGTGAAAAACGCGAAAGCGAAGAATCACTTGTACCACAAATTTCGTGTATGTCTGGAACGAAATTTAGTGGCCTTAAAGGTGATGGAAGAACAATAGACACGTCTAAAGAAGAAAGTGCAGCTATTTTGAAAAACATAAGACAAGATATTTTGAAAAACATAAGACAGGGTGAGTACTTCATATTATCAATGCAGTTATTCTACTTTTTAAATTTAAACTTATGTAACTTCCAAATTTCCTAAAGACAAAAATATTAATAAAAGTGTTTATTAAATTTATGCATTTATATATTTGTAATACAATCAAATGTTAAAGCGGCCTACAGCTTTTATTTTTTGTGAAAACAATTCTGTATTGTTTCAAAATAAGTATTTCAATAATTTTATCTTGCAAAAATACATCATACTACTTTAAAGCCCTCTTCAGAGACATTAAAGCGCGCCAATGACGTTCATTTCTAAAAACAGAAAATCGGTCAAAAATCGTCCGCTTTACTAATGTACATATGGAGAGGGAACCAGGGTGGATTAGAGGTATTTTTTTAGACAAACTTAGGACCGCTTTAAAGATTTTGTCAATAAAGAAGTGATAAATATCTTCAACACAAGGTCAAAATAACGTCTTTTATTATCATAATTTAAAATGTTTATATTCATATATTTGTGTTTTTGTTCAACCTTTATATCAGAAGAGCCCGAAACGGAAGAGGATAGAGATCCTTCACCTGAGAGATTTGGATTTGTTGTAATCGGAATATGTGTTGGCGTGGCTTGTACTATTGCAGTTTTCCTGATTGTAAGACTATGGAGAAATAGAAACAAGTAAACATTGAAAACAAGAATACACTCTTTCATCTTTAAACACTGTTTTATATAGAATACCTTTAAAAACTGTCATGTGTTAATTGGATATGTTTATTTATATTTGTTCATTTAATCCACTTAGGCGAGTTGAAATATGTTCGAATAAAATGTTGTCTTTTTTCAATCGGAGCTACCAATCGTATAAGTTTCATTTTGCATTCTTTTTCTTTGCAATTCTTTCGATTGGCTGCTAAGTACTTTTTGTATTTAAGGTTTTCGTAATTGTTAATAGGTGTATTCATTATTATACAAGAATTGTCTGTTTTGTTGTTGTGATAATAAATAATACACATATCTAAGTAAGTAAAAAATTTTAACTGTATGTAAGTGTGTGAATAGGATACCTTATACACAAGATTCTATCACTCCACGTGATTTTGTCACTATAGACAAAGAAGGAAAAAACCGGTGTTAAACTGCCAATAAACACTGGTTAGGGACTACTTGTATATGCGGCTTTTATGTTTTTTTACCCTCGATTATATAGTTTACAAAGCCTTTTAAAGCAACAATAAAAAGCATTTTTATATATATTTTCAGTTCTTATAATGTTTTCTTTTCATACAATACCCAAATAATATCTCACATACACTAACGCCACATATTTGATCCATATCAGTTAATAAATATTTTGACAAAATGGCGCCAATCCGTAAGCAGCGTAATGACGTCATCGCAAGTAAACAACTCATTCATAAACAAGCTGACGTTATTTCATACATACAAGAATAATAAATGGGGCACTGATGTAAACACAATACGACGTAAGTTTTTATTGTTGAAAACTTGATAAAATAACGTTTTTTTTCTTATTATTTATTTTGTTTAATAATTCTATATCTTTGCAACAGTAGGGTGCGAAAATCGAACAGCGTTATACGAAAATCGGCACCGGAAGTTATTTCCGCTTGAAAAAATAAATTAGTGATCTCTCCTTATTTCATCGTGATAGAATCGAAATAACATCGGCCTGAGAGGTGTATATCGGCTATTTAACACCGTTTTGTCGTTTTGATGCGAAAAATTTAACCACTCAGACCTACGGCCTTCGTGGTCAATTCCTACGCATCAAAACTCCAAACCGGTGTTAAATAGCCGATATACACCTCTCAGGCCGATGTTATTTCTTAAGTAAACATACGAAGAAGAAAACATTGCACCTATTCGGATAATTATATTGATTGATCTTTCATCTAAATCATGACTCCAAACCACCAAGATGTTGTTAAAATTAAAACAAAGTCAGCAGTAAAAATATCCAATAAGATTCACGATAGAATGGTTATTGATTAAATCATGAATAATGTTTGGTTATACAGTAATGTGATGGATTATATAAGACCTCAATGCTACAAACCTCAAGATGAGCCAAACTATTTCAAGAGAATCAAATTTGAGTAAAAATGTACTAAGATTTTAAGAAAAGTAAACAGATTCAATATTCAAGCAATTATATACATGTAATATGCTTATAACTGATTTTGCAGTATTTATCACCATATTTCTACTAATGCAGTAAGAGCTATATTGTAAATTTTGACCTCTTTATGTTAATCTACGTGGATTTTATGTGTTGTTTGCAGGTTACCCACCTATCATCAGCCGAATATTCCACTAACGCAAGAAACGTGAATGTATTCAGTGAGCTGCGAAAGGAGCGTAGTTTGCAGGGTGTTAATTACTTTCTTTATTCACTTCACGATATTTTACTTTTGAATTCATTTTCAAAATTTTCATGAAAATTAACATAAAACTGCATAGAGGAATGCTGCTTTAAGTAGCTATAATCCTATTAATGCAACAAAGATTAAAACTATTCACATGAATACGTTAATGAACTTCAATATATACAAACGCATATTTTTGTCCGCGAGATTGCGAGTTTTCATTGTAAGGGCTTAAATTTATACAAGGTATGAATATTGAAGCTTGCTTACACCTATCACAAATTTGCTTTTGAATATCAGGACTACGTTTTGTGTCTATTTTATAGTATGTTTAGTTAAAATTTGTGACAGTTATTCATGGTATTTACGATGATTATGTACTTCCTTCTATGCATTGTGAAGAACTCATGTCTATATACTAGTATATAAAATTTACATCTAATTTTTTATAAAGCCCCTTTTTTGTTTCTTATGACATTCTTATTTTTCACACTTCTCTTGGCAAAGAAGGCCGTTGCGCTTATGACCTTTAGGACACTACGATAGCCTGTGAATATTAAATAATATCAATATTTTTTAAATATACGAAATTTATAACAAACGTAGTTTTTACAAATAAAGTGTACATATACTTAATGTGTGTTTTGTTTGTGGTTCGCCCATTTTGCCCTCGTTTTTAATTAATGATCTGCTGGGCTCCTTAAGGGTGGACCTGTGTTGCTGGTTTTTGTTGCGGATGCGTTTTTTGAATGTCGCCACTCCTTGTTGATCTTTGTTTAAACAGGGATGCTCTAAAATATACGATACAAAATTTAAGGCAATTGGTCGGCCAACACAACACATCAGAAAAGCAACTGTAACAGGCTCTGTATCACTGAAACTTACGAACACAAAAGAATCTGTTGACTTGAATTCAATGCATTGATCAATACCATGTGCGGTTCACTTTCTACTCTTCTACTCTTGTAGCGATGACCTGAAATATGTTTTCTTATCATTTGAAAAAGGAAAAAGTCATATCTCTATAATGCTTGGATGTGACAGAACGGTGTGTAGGCACAGAAATGTGGACAACAACTCCATAGATATTGAAAAATATAACGTACAAAACTTTCTGGACACTTGGCAATGCATGGTCGACAAACATTTTGGTGACCAAAATCTTATTGTTAAATTGCTAACTGGCGTTAAATAGTGAAACCAGCTATCACCACCAGTAACAATATTTAAAAATACTGCGACAATAATCATTTTCAGTAATTTTCGAGCGCATTTAACTCGCTCTTTTTTCTGGTAAATTGATAGAAATAGGATATACATCTGGCAGGTTTTTCGCCTTACTTCTATTTGATTATTCAGAATCGTATAAGTTTACCCTACTGATATCCCTTTGATATGGACTACTAGGTAAGTGAAAATCTGGCATCTTTGTCAATGATATTGTTGACTTTAAAATTGTTTTGGTCAGTAACTAAGGAACGTTTTCAACTAGACTTTCAGTCATCTTTTATTGACCCCATAATAATGTCCAATTTTTAATGAATGCAACCACCTCAAAACTGTTGCACAAGATATTTTATTAAAACACTTACGAGTATAGGATATTTTCGTAATTTTGCTCAAGCTTTAATTGAAGTCCGTATTGTATTTAAGCCCTTTAAATTGAGCGTTTACCAGCCATATTTTAAATGAAGCTACTCGTGTAATGTACTTTTTAATGTGAAGAAAATTCTGAATCGGTTGACAACATACATGATTTTGGAATCATTTGAAAGCAGATGCTTGAATCATAAACATAAGAATCACAGCTGAATGAGAAAATATACTTCATCAAGCATTTCATATTGGCCCACCAATTTTAGCGAAAATATTATCATTAAAATACATATACAAGACAATTTATCGCAATCAAAATTATTATTCTGTATTTATTTTTATCATGTTTTAAATAGAAAATGTTATGGCAATGGCCTGTGTAGAAAAGCAAACAGGGGAGCAATGTGTAAGAGTTTGCAATTTTACAAACAGAATAAATTCTGTAAAGGTATACGATGGAGGTTTTGGTAATTATAAATCCATGTTAAGTGGTTAGATAAGTTTATTTGTGTTTTACATACACATAATTGAAGACAAAATGTGAGATTTTTCAAGGCTAGGAAATGATTTGCTTATTAAACAAATTTCAAATACCATAAAACCAGGTCACGATGTTTACCATTCGACAGAATCAGAGAATTTTAGGAGTACATTGATAAATATAACTTGAGCAAGGATGACTTACATAATAAGTCATGATACGGACTTATAGGGATGTTTATTTTGCTACAATATACAGTTATGTCATGGATGTTTATGGAACAGTCAAAACTGTTGCCCCAATGTATTAGGGTTGATCCATTCTTAGAACCAACCAGTACTAAGCAATGAGTGTAAAGTTTCTTGCTCACAGAAACAACAAATAGCCCCAGATGATCCTTAGATCACTAGTGTGACATATTAACCACTTGGCCACACTGAAAGTTTAAATACCCTTTCAAATACATGGTATTTGACTGGCATATTTCTAAGAATTCCATGCTTTTTTTAGAAGTCAGATGCTTATTTTCCACTTTATGTTTATAAAATATAATCTGCATTTTTTAAAAAAAGATAAAGAATAAAGTAATGACAAAATGATTTTTACTCCAGCCTCAACAAAAATTATCATATAAACTGCTGACAAAACGATAAGATGTCATACTTCACATAGCAAAAGATAAAACATATTTTTATTAAATGTTTAAATAATGGGCTACATTTAAGATTTTGCAAAATGACGATTACAAGAACGATAAAAAATCAGCAATCATAAAAGTAAGACTTTTCCTTTGAAATAGATGAGCTAAAAACGTCGGTTAAACTAAGGTCTAACCTTGCCCCTTAGATAATTCAAGGAGGTCCTGCAAAGTCTGTGTAAGTTTATCTTAAAATAAAACCTTCAATCTTTGACTTAAATACTTTCTCCAGTACAATAATGCATGACATAACACTGTTATAAAAATTGGCACTAAATCTAAGCAAAATCTAGAAAACAAGGCTATGAATTCCTGAAAAGCTAACTTTCTTTCATTTCGTTTCCGCATTAATGCCCAAACTCTTATTTAAAAACTAGACACATGCCTTAGATCAACCCATCTCACTACTTCCTGTATGTCGTAACCAGTAATGGCAACAGTGTGTGTTGTTGGAGTCGAGAGAATTTCTTGCCTCTAGATAAAAAAAAATGATGCTCTACCTCTACATGTATATCAACATTTGTGAATCAATTTCACATTTGAAAATACAGTACAATGTATGCAGAAAGGCTCTATATATAGCAAACACCCCCTTACATTTTTCTCTTAAGTAAGACTTCCGAGTTAATATAACCTCTGTACAGCAAAACCTCTCAGCATTAAGCCCCTCCCAGAAATCTTTGTCTTATAAAGGGTGTTGCTCTTCAGAAGTTGTACTGTAGTACTCTAATGCAAAAACAACAACTATTTCAAACTAAAGAGACTGGTACCTTATCATTGTCTACTTGAGCATTCTGTTCATATAACCTGTACCTGAACTTGCAGTCAAGTCTGGTAGCAACGCTTCCGTTTTCTTTTTCTCCTGTGAAAACGTCATTTGACAAATGACAGTCAAAAATAAAATACATTTTCAAACGAATACTTTTTTATAGGGATTGATTTTTTTTATATTTTAAATACGATCAGTAAAACAAGAGAGCCATGATGGCCCTGAATCCCTCACCAGAAACAACTGTTTTACAGTGTTAGGAATAATTTTTGTTGTCCTAATATTTGCTAAAATATCTATGTTGCAACTGTATTCCTATGTATATATTAAATGACCACGAGACACGAGAACAAGAGAAATTTTGTTGGGACAATTTTTTTATAACTTTTGTGAATGTATACACGCAAATGTTACATGCAAAATATGTTAGGTGTAGGCATTTGAAGTTAACAGTTTAGCTGAACAAATTTTTCGAAAGCTTTTTTAACTTTCTTAACGTCAAAAAGAAATGAAATTAGGTCAAACAATATCAAAAATATCAAACGTACGCCCATTGATATCAAAATTGAATTCAGCATCCAAAATTTCCCATCTGATTCAAATTTCAAATCTGTATGTAAAAAAAACAAGAAAGTAAGTCAAATGATATCAAAAATATCAGAAGTAGGTCAGATGATATCAAAATTCACTTCAGCATCAAACATTTATCCCCTGTGTCCAATTTTCATGTCTGTACATCAAAAAGCAAGAAAGAATGTCAAATTATATCAAAAATATCAAAAGGCGGTCAGCTGCTATCAAGATTCAATTCAGCATCAGAACTCATACCCCTGGTTCAAATTGGAAATCTGTATCTCACAAAACAAGAAAGTAGGTCATATGATATCAACGTGACATCACAAATTAAGCCCTACCCAGGTTTAAATTTAAAGTCTGACAAAAAACAAGAAAGTAGGTCAAATGGAGTCAATAATATCAAAAATAGGTCATCTAATATCTATATTCCATTTGGCATCATAAATTACACCCTTGGTCAAAATTCCGTGTCTGTATGTCAAAAAGCGAGAAAGTAGATCAAATGAAATCAATAATATCAAAAGTAGGTCAGCTGATATCAAACTTCAATTCAACTTCAAAAATTACACCCCTGTTCCAAATTTCAAGTCTTTACATAAAAAGGTAGGTCAAGTGATATCAAAAGTTTCATAAGTAAACCAGTTGATATCAAAATTCAATTCAGGACAAGAAATTTCAACTCTTGTCCAAATTTCAAATTTGTACATAAAATGTGAGATTTATCATTATTTTTATCATTAATATTAACAGTAGGTTAGCAGATATCCAAATTCAATCTGGCATCAGAAATAACATTCCTTAGGTGAAATGGTTTCAAAAATATCAATAACAGTTCGACTGATACCAAAATTCAATTACGAACATGAAAGAGATATCAGTTTCAACAGTGTGTCCCAAAACTGATTTTAAGTTTGAATCAAATTCAACAAAAAATGAAAATTAAATTAAGAAAAATGAGCATACAAAGTCATCTTGCTAGTAAGATACAGAAAACAATGGTAATATTTCTTTAGGCTTAAATTCATTTTCAGGAGATAATTTTTGACCTACAATCAACCCTGCAGAAAGATTTAATTGTATGATTCAATCGTGTCCAAATTTAGAGCTGAAAGTTATTTACATTATTAGACAATGATTTTTCTAATAATAGACTCACTGATGAGAAATGCACATAACAACAGTAAGAAGTTTAAATTAATTTTACATTTTAAATGTTATGAAATGTTAATTCCAGATACACAGTTATAACATAAATGCTATGGGTGGGATATGCTCATCATTGAGTCAGTTAGCGTCTAGTTGTACACTTACGTAGATGTCAGGAGAAATGACTGCCTTGATGTTATTTAATCTAAGACAAGATTTAGTAATAAATACTAGAACCAATTTCCAAGATATGGAGGCAGCACCGCCTAACATAAAAATGAAATATTCTCAGTTGGAAAACTAGCATGTAATTGTTTAGTTAACACTATTTTTTAGGTATTTTTATCTTTTCTATCTCAAATCAATATATA